TGAGTTGACCATGCTTCTGAATTTATGAAGAGAGATGTTTTAGCAGAAATCCCCCAGAGTCTCCCATCAGTCCTAAATCCCCAGCCTGCTCTCCCTGGGAGCCCTCATGACACAGAGCATGCCAAACCAGCTTCCTTTTGCCTATGCATTAGCAATCTATTTTACCTTTTTGACATCTCTCACACATAAACCCGTAAGAGAGAAATAAAATATCTGTCTCTAGGCGAAAATAAAGCTTTGCCTCCCTCCTGATCTATAGGATATAAAATAAAGCCCTAGCTCTGATAGTGGCTTTTCCTTATGCTGGAGTTGCTTTTGCACACCCGGAGACAATGAAGATGAATGAGCTGAGATTGGGGCTGGTTTCACCCTCTTTCTTTATCATCTCTCTGCCGCCCCACACCTCTTTCCTTCTCCTCTGCTCTCTTTTATTCGTCTTCTATCTGCCCTTTCCCTCCCCTGGAAAAACAAACTTGTTTCACAGGCGCAAGCCGGACACACACAGGCTCCCCTCCCTCTCCCCAGCCTTTTAGTTGCTTGGGCATTAGGAAAACAGCCCATCTGTCCCCGAAGTCCAAGGCTGTGAAATGCAATGTAAAACGTGGATGTTTCTCTTAGCATTTTCTCTCCCCCGTGCGCTGGGGATGCGGGGTTGCAGTGGGGCTTTTCCCCGGGCATCTCCACCCCTCCCCGGCCTTGCAGCGGCTGCAGAGGCGTCTGGACGTGGAGCAGAGGGGCTCTCCCTGCTTTCCCCGTGGGAGCGGGGCAGGGCTGGCCCCGGAGGGGGCCGGGGGGGTACGTGGATGAGGGCTCTGGCCTGTTGGGAGCCCGGACAATTTGCGCTGGGGGGGAGGCGCCCTCCACCTTGGCCCGGGCTGGGGGGCTCGGCCGGAGCGCGGGGTGTCGCGGGGTAAGTGGAGGGGGCCGAGGGGCAGCCCCGGGCCGCGGGGGATGCGCCCCCGGCCGCCCTGCGGCTCCCCGGAGGTGCGGGCTTTGCAGCGGCCCCCGGGGGAGGGCAACCCCCGGCTCCCCGGTGCTTCTTCCCCGAGGGAG